AGTAGAGACGGGGTTTCACCATGTTGACCAGGATGGTCTCGATCTCTTGACCTCGTGATCCACCCGCCTCGGCCTCCCAAAGTGCTGGGATTACAGGCTTGAGCCACCGCGCCCGGCCGGGACTCTTATTCTTATTGATTCCAGTGGTTTTATTATATTCCCAGTGGCTCCAGTTGTAACTAGAAACCTAAGCCCTACACCTGCTGGGACAGGGTTCTGACATTTTATGTCAGAGGTAAGGTAGAAAGAGCCACATACATGATTGGTTTTTATAATAATATGTCTGTAGCACACTGATTTAAACATAAGAGGCAAACACCAAACACTCTTCCCAAACACCCTGTAGTAAGAAATAGAATTCCCCTGAGCCCTCCTTCTCATATCTACCCATCACAATCCTATCACACCAGAAGAGCAAACACAGAAGTCCCAAACACACTGACTACTTTCTGTCTACAGGTCTTTAGACAAACCCTTTCTCCTCTCTTCCTCTGTAAATAATGCTGATCTCACAGGGTTTTATGAGCATTTGATGATACATGCCTCATAAAAAGTATTTTAGAATCAGTAAAGCACCGCATTTATTACTGTTATTGGGTTATAGGAATAATGTGGTCCTTGGTTCTCACGTTTGCAAATATAGAACCCTTAGGGGATTTGTGGCGGATGAACTTTTCCAAAATTGGCCACAATAGCACCCCCCCATCTCACATCTTCAGTGTGCCCTGGCCATGCCTTTCTCAAGAGAGAATTTTCTTCATCTCCTTGACTCTGAGTTGACCGCAGACTGCTTTGACCGACAGCACAGTGAACTTGTGGATCTGGGGTGGAGCCCTTAGCCAGCCTAATAATTTCTGCTTCCTGCCTCTTGGAGCCAGCGGCCATATAAGAAGTATGACTCTCCTGAGACCACCAGATGATATGCCATGTGGAGAGGAAGAAAGGCCAAGGAGCAAAAGGTGTACCAGACATGGGTGAAGAAGCCCTCTTGGAAGTGGATTTTCTAGCCCTAGATTCCCAAATTCCCAGCTGAAATCCAGAAATCCCAACCCACTGAATTGTGGAAAAATAAAATAAATGTATGAACACACTAAGTTTTGAGGGTACTTGGTTACCCAGCAATAGAAAACTAAATAGTCGCGTTTTTTCCTCTTCTGGGTTCGTGAATCTTTCACCCAAGGACTTGCTAATTGTGTTGAATTGAGAAAAGCCACAGACTTTCCCAGCCCAGGTGGTCTGGTGTTCAAACCTTGACTCTGTCATCTTTTAGCTGTGTGTTCACATAACGCTTTGAACTTCATTCAGCTTTTCAATCTATGATAGGGCCTTATAAGGGCTCCTAAAGACGCGGGGAGGCCACACCGAGCCGGTCCACTGAAAGTACTTTGTAGCATTGTTTGGTCCTAAGTATGCTGTCAGGCGTACGTTGTGAATAAAAGAACCCACTGAGACTCTGTGGGACACCTGCCGGTCAGTTCCACATCCCTGGTGAGGCTGGTTCCCCTTGGCACTTGTTTGATACATTCTGGGCCTACTTTTGAGATGGGAAGGGGCAAAGCCTGCATGGGACTTCACAGTGTGGAGGCTTAGAGGCAGCTCATGAGTGCTGAGTACTTAGTGCATGCGCCAGGCCTGTCTGTAATTTCTGTACTACTTCTTAATAGCAAACTCTTAATACTTATTTCTGTTTCACAGATGAAAAAACTGAGACTCAGAGAAGCTGATGTGGCTTGTGTAAAAATCTACATTAGTAACGACAGAAGTAGGACAAGAAGGCAGATTCCTAGTCACCAAGTCCAGTAAGATTTGGGGCAATCACTGAGAATATTTGACTTCAGCATAAAGTAAAGAAGATAAGAAAGTGTCCAAGAGGCATAAAATTTTAATCTGAAAGCATTGCAATATGATGACTCCTTGAGCAACATAAGAAATTTGGAGTTCCTTTAAAGCTGCAAACACGAGAAGTTTACTCCTTCCAACTTGTCGTTCTTGGCAAAGTAGGCATAAATGGCACCTCATTCCTTCCGTTTCCAGTCGGAGGTGCTTCTGTTTTGAGCGTGTGTGTTCCTCTTTTCTGGAAGTTTTTCTTGACAGAAGCAGAGAGGTTTTTGACAAACAACTTTAATATTCTTTGTGTCTGTGTGGCTGGCTCTAATAATCCTGCAAGCTTACAAGGTCACTGTTAAGATTAAATCTGAGTCATCGGAGGCAGATGTTGACACATCATTATTTAAATCCTGAGCTGCTGAAGGACTCTCATCCTCATGAGCTGTGATTCACTGTCCAAACGAACACCCCAAATTCCGCATAGGTTGCTGAGCAGAGACTCTGGACTCCATTAGGGAAAAAAGTTTGCCTTTGTGTGTGAGAAAGCCCTACTTTCTGTTGCAGAAGCATGGTCTACAGGGAGAGTGAATGTTTCAGCAGACCTGGGCTCCTGTCTCATCTCTAGCTCTGGGCTTTATTTTATTACCTGCTCTTCATAAACTTTCCCATAATTTACACTTGCACGTTTATTTATATGTTATTGCTTTTTTAGTGAAGTATACTTTTTAAAGTAAAATGTGTTATGTGTCCAGCTTGATGAAATTTTGCAAGCGTGTACTCTAAGTCAGCACCATGCATATGACAACATGGAACATTTTCACCACCCCAGAAGGTTCCCTGTGCCCCTTCCCAATCAATAACCCTTCAAGGTAACTGCTGTTCTGACTTTTGATGCCATGGATCAATTTCCTCAGTTCTAGGATTTCACGTAGAAGTCAAATGGCACATGCTTTTTTGTATTTGGCTCTTTTGCTCAGAAAAATACCTGTGAGATTTATCTGTGGTGTTGTGGGTATCAGTGATTTGTTACTTTTTATTGCTGAATACTATCCCATTGTATGACTATACTAAAATTTGTTTATGCATTCTTTTGTCCATGGATACCTGGTTTGTTTTCAAACTTTGGCTATTATGAATAAAGCTGCTATACCTATTCTTGTATACATCTTTATGTAGACATATGTTTTCATTTCTTTTGAGTAAATACCTAGAAATGGGATTGCCGAGTCATAGAAAAGGCTGATGTATGTTCGACTTTATCAGAAACCATCAAATAGTTCTTTCCAACACTTAATGTTTTCAGACTTCTTTTTTTTTTTTTTTTTTTTTTTTTTTTTTTTTTTTTTTTTTTTTTTTTTTTTCAGAGCCTTTCTGGCAGGAATGTTTTCAGACTTTTAAAATCTTGGCCCTTCTGGAGGGTGTCTACTGGTATCTCAATTTAATTTTCATTTTTCTGATGAATATTGATGCCGAGCACTTGTACTTATGCTTATTGACCATTTATATATCTTTTATTTTTGTGAAGTGTCTGTGTAAATATTTTGCCCATTAAAAATGGATTTTAATGGTAGAATGCATTAATAAAAGTATTAGGGAATAGACTGCAGAATGAAGACAGAAAACCCGCAAGAGAGAGTCCTCAAGGGCAGCAGTAAAAACAATGAATACAGTTGTCACCTTCTACCCTGTTTCCAACCCATGATTGAGTGGAAGCCTTGAAGGATGCAATCACTTGGCTTATTTAGAACAAAGAGATGCACACACACACACACAAACACGCATACACACACACACACACACACACACACACACAGAGGGAGAGAGAGAGAGTGCTCAGGAAATATTATGAAAAGGTATAATTGTCACACACTACTGGCACTACTGGTGCAGAAATAAAATAGAGTTTATTGGGGGGAAATTCTTAAGTAGCAGAGTACAAGCTTGAAGAAGCTCTGAACTTTCATATTCCTATAGCTTGGCCAGGTTTAGGGGTGTGAAGCTTTGTGACCAAATTTCCAGAAAAGAGGAGCTCCACCTCCATCAGGCTCCTTGTATTTATAGGTTCGGGGCAGGAAGAATATCTGTGCAGCTACATAGCGATGGGAGCTTCTTGGTATCCTTAGGAAGAAGGAGCCTTGGAGCCCAGCAATTGGGGTGGTTTTCACCTATGCTTCTGATGAGATAACTCAGACCTGGTGACCTTGCTCTTTGCTAAGTCACTAAAAATGGGGGAGAAAACAAACCTTCAGAATTGTCTGGATTTGTCATTCAACAGGACAGTTTTAATTAACGTAATCTCTCTGAGTCTCTGTTTTATCACCTGTAAGATGGGGGTAATACGATCTAGTATCTTGAACTATTTGAAGATCAGAAGTAATCATGTAAAATACTAAGCACATTGACTAGGATCAAGTAAGAGCCCAACAAATATCAGTTTTCTTTATTTCAAGGAGAGAAAATTAAAATACTTGTTATCAATGTGAAACTTTTATACATATGGGAAATTTGGCTGGTTAGCTGATACCAGCTCTATGCGTGGCAGAGGCATTTGCTCTCACTTGACATCACACTTTCCTATGTAAAGCCTGGAATGAGGCTCTTATGATAATGGCCTCTGGGGATTATAATTAGCATGTGACAAGGGCACATTTTCCTTATTTGCTGTGCAGGATTCATGTATCTGAGACTTTAGAGGTACAGCTGCTGGATGATGGGGGAAGTAGCAATTGGATTGAAGCTGTATATTCCAGCACCAAAGCAGTGGACTTTTGGATGCATTTAGACCTCATGTGGCCTAATTTATGGAGGTGTATCATGAAATGCCATATTTTCATAATGGAAGCATAAGGGTACTAGAAAAAAAAATCAAAAGCTTTCCATGTAGAATTCTCTTAATACAATCTCTGATTGTTTATTAAGGGATGTGGGTTGCTATTGGTGACATCAACAGAATTTGAAGAGGATAGGAATAGACATTCTAATAGGGCCAGGCATAGCTTGTATACACTTAGAGAAAACATTGCTTTTTAGAAACAGGCTTGAGATATTGTGTAGAGTGTGCTATGTATCAACAAAACTTCCTGAGTTTGTGTCAGACCATCCTATTTTTTATAGATTGCCCATTTAATCCCTCATTGCATTTTATTTCTCAGTTATAGTTGAGCTTGTTTATGTCTTCATTCATTCGTTCATTCATTCATTCATCAACAAATAGATTTTGATAGCATATATCTGCCCATTCTGAGGGATATTCGAATAAGTAATCATTTGGTCTCTTACAGTGATTTTGGGAGGGCAGCAGCATATTTCTGTCACTGGCTGACTTTCCTCATTGAATTAGTCTGCATTTAATCACTGTATTCAGTGACTTCAATACTGGGGAAATTTAATACAAAGAATTATTGAGCTATGATAGGATAGTGTATGTAAAGATGGAAAAAGAACACCAAAAGGTACCCAGGGAAGGACAAGTGTGAAGGGGAGAATTCAGACCTCATTGAAGAAGATCTTCAATTACAGAGTCCTGGATAATGAGGTTTGCTGGGTTGCAGTGGCCAGAGCCAGTCTACATAGCTGGGCAAACAGCAACAACCTTATGGGGCACAGGTGAGCTGAGGCTGGGAGGTGCGCAGCGGGACTGAGTGAGGGTGCCACTATAGGAACAAGGCCCAGACTGTGCAGTGATGACTGGAGGGCTGCAGCAAAGTGGTCACTGGGCCTGGGCCAAGGCTGCAAGATTTCTGGAAAAGCCTGCTTTGGGGGCACAGCTGGGGCAGAGCAGCCCTGGACCATGACCCTATTCACATGCTCTGCTGACAGAACAAGCAGCTGAAGCTAGACAAAGCAAAACAGCAAGCGGGATCCGAAAGAGAAGCCCGTTCCTTCTGCAATGTCCTGCCATTGCCCTCTACTGACAAACCTTAACATGTGCTTACCGTAAAGGAGAAATGCTGAGTCCAGTTCATTATTGCAGAGCAGGCATTGAAGGGTGAGTTTGGAGCTTCAAAGTGGCTGTCCTGGTTGTGGTTTATCTTGTGAAATTACTGTAACACTCTCATTCCCAAAGAGGCTTCATTGGCTGTGAAGCTAGGAGGTGGTTCAAGGGGGTTCTAAGAGCAAACTCTTTAGAGAGAATGACACCCTGCAGGTCGTCCACCCAGAAGGAAGGCCTGGAATACAAGCCTAGGTTGGTAGCAGTCATTGGCTCTCAGTTTTTTTCCTGTTGAAAGGTAGTTTATATTCATTTGGTTTTATAGACTTGGAATCCCAAGGACATGGATTTGAGTCTCAGCTTGTGTACTCGCCAGCTGTGAGTTCAGATACCAGCGTATGCCTACGGGTATTCAGGATTCAGCTCCAAAGTTACAGACTTCCTGGTCATATCATAGGTTTAGCCACCATTCCCTAAATCAGGAGTTAACACATTTTTTCCTGGAAAGGGCCAGATAGCAAATATTTTAGGCTTTGCGGTCCATATGGTCTCTGTTGTGACAACTCAACTCCCCTCTTTGTGGCACAAAGGCATCCATTGACAATGAGCAAATGAATGAGTTTGACTCTGTGTGGGGAGGTCCAGTATTGGACCTAACTGCTGGGACCAGTGGGTACCTAGGGGCTCCCTGGGTCTTGAGCTAGACTGGCCTCTCCCTTTTCAGAGGAAATGTTCTCTCAGGTTTCATTGACCTGCCCTGTTGTGAGCCTTGGTTGGAGTCCCTGAAGACATTCTAATAAACTGCCTTATCTTTAAATCTGGAGGATCCAGGGTTGGGGATCTTCACTGCTTCCTCTCTAGAATGCTTCAGGCTTTTTATTAGGTTGGTGCAACAGTTATTGTGGTTTTGCCATTGAAAGTAATGGCAAACACCACAATTATCTGTGCACTAACCTAATATTTGAACTTGGTCTTTAGGGTCCAGCTCTATAAACCCGGGAAAGCGGTAGCTTTTGCTAAGCTGCTGAAGAGTAAGGTGTTGTTAGCTCCTGCAAAGGGGTCTGTGGGACAAAGGAGATCTGCTTCCCTGTTTAAGCAGCAGCAGTGACAATAGAGTGTCACCCGTACCTGGCCTTATGGCTGCCATAGATGCTAAAGATAAAGCACTGTCACTATAGGCAAAGAGTCATCTGTCGTTGTCACCTGTGCATTTTCTTAGGCCAGAGAAGACAGCGAATTTGAACATTTTAAGGAATTTTAAATTTTAAGGGAAGGTAGGAGCCAATAAAGTGAAACATTAAACGAATCATCTAGTGGGAGGTGACGCTTCCCAGGCAGCATGTGCCAACATGCCTCATTTTTGGGGTGGTTTGTGAGCTTGGTAGCTAGTCACCCACCCCACCAGCTCATATGACAAGGTAGCCAAAGCATCCTTGCCTCTTCCTGTGCCTTTTTTTTTTTTTTTTTGGTTCTATTTAAATTCTGGTGCAGAAGGGTTGATGCCAAGATACTTATGCCCTTTTGCTAACTGCTGCTTAAGCGGCTTCTTGACAGACAAATTCTAATTAAACAAGTCTAATAAGTTGCAGAAACACAACGGCTCTCGGCGCTTTTCCTGTGGCATGTCACGTCTGGAAAAGCCACATCCTGTAACTTGCAGATACATTTTTAGGAACTGCCTCTGTAAAGCTGCTTTGGCTGTTTCTCCAGAGATGTTGGTTAGGTTAACACCTCTTCCTTTTTTTTTTTTTTTTTTTTTTTCTGAAAAACTAATTTTAGGCAGCAAATTAATTGTAGGGACATTCAGGTCAAAGAGATTTGTATTTCTGTGTGGTAAATTCTGCCCTTGTCTTAGGAATGTTACAACAGCCAATTAAGTGGCTGAGTTGGGATTTGAACTCTGATCTTTCTGTCACCACACACTCTAGGAAATAAAATGAAAATGAAAAGCAACAAAAACAACAACAAAAATCAGCCAAGTAGTCTGCTGCTCCATTTTGGATATAAGATCTAACTTGGATTTGAGGAATGGAGGGTCCTTACAGTGGTGATATTCAGTAAACCATTGGAAAGGTGGGCCTGGAACTTGGTGACAAGTGCAGAGCAGAGATTTCATTGTGAACGTCTCCTTTTTACGGCTTGATTCATTCACCCAATACCCTTTGTTTAACCTATTAAATGACATTTTTATAGGTTGTAGGAAGAAGCACTAAGGTGGAATCCCTCCCTCCCTC